TATTCATACTTATCGTAATAATAGTAGCAATTAGAGCTTATTATTTTCCTTTATTTTCATCGTAATTTTTTTACGAGTGAAAACAAGATTTCAGTCACCTATGCACTTTTCATGAGAAAAAATATACACATATTGATTTAGTTTATTGAAACACTATGAGATCATTTTGATTTTTCACATGACTTGTTTGTAATACAGATAATTATAATCAATTATAATCAATCTAAATTTAATTGCATCGAAATGGTTTCCTCACTAGCGCGACGGTTAAGTAATAGTTAGATCATATTAAGTAAAATTTTAGTGATTAAGAAGGGGCGGAGGGAGCGAAGCGACCGAGCCCCCTTCTTTATCACTAAAATTTTCTTAATATGATCTAACTTAGAACCTATCGCGCTTTTTCATTGGCTAATAAGTCAGCCCGCGGAGTTACTGCATAGACATAAAATCTTAACAATTAAGTGATCAACTTAATAGGAAATTTAGCAGCTGCTGATTGGAGGAAAAAGCGGGTAAGGTTCTAATTAGCAGTAAGCATCAGAAGACCGAAAGTTAATCTGATCTTGGCCAGACCTTTCAAACAAAGTGAAAGAGATATACACAGGGACTATTAGCCAAATGTCAATCAATTTCAAGTACCCAATGATGGACATTAATTTATTTGATTGACATGGGAATACAGATCAGGTAAATTTGAGGGCGGTGCTTATTAATTCGGGTTTTAAACTTACTAATTAATGTAAAAAAAAGTGTAGGTCGACATATTTCTTAGGATAAGAGACATAAATAAACAGAAGTGTATGTCAACAAAAAATGTACATGTTTGTAAACATTATAAAAATTATGTAAAAACTAGTTCAAATCCATAATTCTGATGCTGAAAGTTCCGAAATACTTGCTACTTCTAAGATACTTTTGAATTGTGAATACCAGGGAAACTATTTTACATAGGAATTAGTATAAAGAAATGCTTGAATGAAGATATCTGAGAAGGAGTTATTGCCCTCTTCAACATTTTAAAAGATTGAATAATTGATTAAAATATTGAAAATAAACATTTTTAATATTCTTTATCTAAACAATCCTTATCATTAACCTATTGAAAAGCATTATGATAAAATAAAAATGTTCTTCTACTTGGCATAAATCTAAATTAATTTTTTTTGTTGCAAAAACCTATGACATCATTGGAGAATGGAAATATCATAAATAAGGTTAAATTTATCGAAAAACGAGTATTTAATTAAATGCTATGTAAATATTTTTTGTCTTAGAGTTCAACTGCAAATCAAACCGGAAATAACTACGATGGTATCAATGTGAGTATGAAAAACCCTACAGAGCTCTTACACACCTACTGATAATGATACCACTGTTCATAGCAATACGAAACACTTGAACATCAGTTTGAACCAATTTCTTCTCAAATGCACCAGAAAAACATGATGTGTTTGTAAAACACTGATGCCCCTGTATGGCAACATAGCGAATGATTCATAAATTCTCAAATGCAATCAAACATGTTGATACCCAAAGTAAGGCCTTCTCACAAGCAATAAACATATGTGAAAAAGTATAAAACACTAGCACCACCTATTAAAAGTTGTGGCCAAAGTAAACATTTTTAAAGGTTGGTCAAACTCCGGAGTCATGGTTGTTGGTATCCAATGAAAGGTCTTGTCACAAGAATAACATATGTAAAGTATGAAAGTGCTAGTTGTGAAGTTCGAAAGTTATTGTCAAGGTTAAAGTTTTAAAAAGGTGGACCATCCTCAAGGTCAAGATCAAAAGATCAAAGTTGTTGGTATCAAATGATTGGTCTTGTCACAAGGATTACATATGTAAAGTAAGAAAAACCGTTCAAAACTTAGTTTGGCCACGGTTAAAGTTTTTCAAAAGTAGGTCAAACTCCAAGGTCAAAAGGTCAAAGTTGTTGGTATTCAATGAAAGGTCTTGTCACATGAATTACATATGTAAAGTATGAAAGTCTTAGCACCAAGCGATAAAACTTGGCCAAAGTGAAATTCGGCATTTTTTTGTGTCAAACTCCAAGTACAAGGTCCAAAGGTCAAATTTAGTGATACCCAAAGAAATGTCTTGTCACAAGAAATATACATGTAAAATATGAGAGCCATAGTCCCAGCCACTCAAAAGTTATTGGCAAGGTTATAGTTTAAAAGAGGACCAACAGACAAACAGTTAGACTAACAGATAAACAGTTTGACAGATAGATGGACGGACAGGGCAAAACTATATACCCGTGAAACTTCGTTTGCGAGGGCATAAAAAGCATTCTCTTAAATCAATAATCACTGAAAAACTTCGTTTACGGGGGCATAATAACGTTAACTTTTTCAAATAATGTGTATTCAATTAAATGCAATGTAAATATTCAATTAAATGCTATGTAAATATTTTTCTGTTTAAGGATTCAACTGCAAAGACTTAAGAAGGACACTTTTTTTCGCAAGTTTTTCTTACAAAGGCGTATCTCATTTCTTCAAATTATACGTGTAATAATGAATAGTTCCTTCAAATATTATTAATTTATCTAGCCTTATTGATGGTAAACCTTAGCAGCAGTAGTACATGAGGCATGTAACCATATATAAATTAGAATTTCAATTAAAGATCATCTTAAAATTAAATGTGACTTTTCTTCATTCATTTGCAATCATTTTCTATTCTTGATTAGAAATAGAATATAGCACGTACCATAATTTGTTTAAATTATCTGGTTTCTCACATTTATTATCACAGTACATAATGATCTACATATACATATAATATCATTACATTGTAAATACAAAATTGCATAAGTTTCTATTTGGCAAACTATTCAAAATATATAGATACATTTTTTTTAGTCATAAATAACATTTTACCATTTATTAAGTTGTTATGATACTTAGAATTAAATGTCAATATCCACCGTATACAACGGGTAACACGGGGGAGTCGCTAAAAAGTATGGGGGGAGTCGTTTTCAACGTATGGGGGAGTAGATTTTCACCGCTTCGAAGTCAGAAGAGATGTGCGTCACGTCTTTTTTCGGTATATGTAAGATGTATTTACAAAAAAAAAAAAAACAAACAAACAAATATGCCACGGAAGATGGCAATAGTTAAGCTTTATTTTGGACATTTGTCCGGCTGTCATATACGTCTAGTTTTCTGAAACACTTCAAAACTATTTGACAGTTTGGATATTTACGTTGATCGGATGGTAAAAACATGCATGATTTGTAAATATACGGCTTGCGTAAGGATTCTCTTAGTTAAAACAGCGAGAGAAAACGTTTATCTTTTAAATGCAACAACTTAAACTTGATTAGACTTTATAAGACATTTTCTCCTCACACAGTAACGGTTACGTAAGGGGGAGTCGTTTATGGGAAAGCACATCACAGGGGGAGTCGCAAAATAAAGTCAAATGCATACTTGATGTTGTTTTCATCTCTTTTATACTGCCAATACCTTTCTATTTTCTCGTAAATATCTATAAATCTGTTTGGTTATTTACTATAAATTTGAGTTACGAAAAGAGATTTTTTCTGTGGCTTTATCAGTTCTAGAAAAAAATCAGCAATATAGATTACATGAACAATTGGATTATATATCATCGAAGCACATGTGCTTGGGGACAGGACCACCTTCCTCAATATGTCATTTTCGTACATGTATATCACAAAAATTCAATCCACGAATTCAGGAACCCAAACTTCCGAAAATGAAAGCCTTTCCATAAAAAAAGAACAATCCGATTTATAATTTGGAAAATTTCTTAATAATATCAAACAATTTTTTTGCAGAATACTTAAATCATAGTAACTGTTATTTGCTAATTTGTGTTGATAAGATTTGGTTGTCAAACTGTTGTTTCCTCCTTTCAACAACCCATGTTTTTTTTGCTTGTCAAAATTCAATTTTTTTAGGTGAGTTGCATGTAATTTTTGTTTGTTATACTTAAAAAAAAATTTTATATAAATTTATCGAAAAAGAATAACCTTTCTACTGCTTTCTTAAGTCAAATAGTCAAATAAATAGCTGTTTGACCGTGGAGCGAGATGTTGGACCTTTCGATGAGATATTGTACCATTTACTGTAGACGTCTTTAATTTCACGTGTCTAAAATTTCACGGGGAATGGTTTGTAAATATTCAGGTACTATGACTGTGTATAGGTAGAATTGCCGTGAAATAATAATCACGATGGTTTAAATTTTGCGGAAAATTCTTAAATCGTGAACATAGTGAAATTAAAAACACCGTTATGTTTTCCACTTCTACAGTATGTCAAAGTGTGGGCTGGGTCAGCTGTCAGAACTTTACGGAATTGACAGTCTTTAAATGCAGTGAGGATTAACAAAAATTTCATCATGATAATATCATAATAAACAGTAAAATGTATAACAAAACATTGATCGAATGTGTTCTCTAGATCTGGCAAAATGTGTTTCGTCGACCCCTCGAACAAAACTATTTGCCTTCAGCCTAACAGTCTCCTGCAAACTGTTTGGTTCTTGGGTCCGACAAAATGCATGTTGTCCTCGAACCCTGTCTATGAATGTATAATACTGGTTGCCTCAAACTGATTCTGGTACAACAACCCGTCATGCTATATGTTCACAAAACTGCGAAAGGGGGAGGGGCAAAGGGGGTATCATATTCTGCGGAATAGCTGGGGCAAGGAAAGGGAGGGTATAATGATAATGAAATGTATACAGAGAACAAATATTTTCGTATTTCCTCTTTTCAAAGTTTGTGATTAATTATTTTTACATTGACACTTTTCATTTTATTTATCATAGACATACATTTCCAGCGTATTAGGTAATATGCAATTCAGTCCCTTCTTCGGTATTCATCCTGTATATTTACCTATGTGTATTAATATCAGATTATCCAAAATATTCTCAATTTGATATACTAATTCGTTTGTGTCTGAAGATTATTTTATCTGAAGTTATTTTATATGATAACTAAATAAAAAAAAATGATTATGAATGTTATCTGTGAACCTAACCGAGAGAATATACCAGTTAAATTTAAGCCCCTTCCCAAAGAAAAAGTCAAGTGGCGCGTGCAGACGCGTCAGAGATTTGCCTTTTTCTAATTAAAAAAATGATTCATATTATCAAGAAATTTTCCAAATTATAAATCGGGTAGTTCTTTTTTATGTAAAGGCTTTCATTGTCGGAAGTTAGGGTTCCTGAATACGTGGATTGAATTTTTGTGATATAGTACGAAAATTACATATTGAGAGGGACGGTCCTCTCCCCAAGGCCCAACCACATGTGCTCCGATGATATATACTCCAATTGTTCATGTAATCTATATTGCTGATTTTTTTTTCTAGAACTGGTAAAGCTACAGAAAAATCTCTTTTCGTAACTTCAAATTATAAAGTAAATAACCAAACATAGATTTATAGATATCTACGAGTAAATAAACATAAGAAATCAGACATTACAGAGCTCACCTCAACGAATGTTGTCTTTAAGTAAGGTAAAGTCACACAATTAACCAACAAAATATGTACATTCCAAAAATGAAAATATTTAAGCAAATTTTGATCTGATACTTTGAAATAGACCTACAAAAAAAATTAAAACTAGTTCTTCTTCATGAAAATGTAATTAAAATCCAGCATCTGTCATTTTGTACTTTTAGAGTTCACAATTCATTTGAATTGCTGTAGCCTGGTCGGTGAGAATCTCTTAGACATCTGCTTTTCTAATCAATAATGCGTATCAAACTTGCAAACTTTAAAAACAAAATTTATCCAATGTTTACCCCTTTATCCCTTTGATATGACTCACTGGATAATTTTTATATCCAACACTTAAGTGCAGTTTCGACGTCACAATGGTTTTCTTGCGTTAGCGTGTTGAAGTAAAATAAGTGGAGTCCTATATGAAAACAGTGTAAAACCTTAGTTGTGAAGTATTAAACATTGGCTAAAAAGAATCTACCATTATTTGTAGTTGGATTTGACTTTTATACAACTCGGTGTGTGTTTTTCTCCCCTTGCCAAGGCTCGGGGATAAAAAACACACAACTCCTTGGATAAAAATCATATCCAACTACAAACCATGGGAGATCCTATATTTATATCATCAAACTATGATCGAAATATGAAGTGTTTTATTTTCTGAAGTTTCATTCCTTCTTTTGGTATAGTATGTACACATGTAAAAGTTACGGATTTCCAATATCTGATTTCGAGACTTCTTTTGAATTCTTTCTTTTTTATATTCAAATGTTGCTTTCTATTAAATTCATAAACATGAACCTATCTTCATTGATAAGTGTTAAGTAAGCATAAAAATAATAAGAATGTCTCAATTATTTCCAAGCAGCCTTCATACAACTATACAGACAAACAAAGACTGACAGTCGGACAGAGGTGGAGATTGACTAATGTTACTTTTCTTCTGCTACAGCGTGAAAATCCCGAAGACAGCCCTCATGTTTATGACGAAATCCAAGATGTACATGACGAAATCCAAGATGTACATGACGAAATCCAAGATGTACATGACGAAATCTAAGATGTACGTGACGAAATCCAAGATGTACATGTAGATGTAAGTTAAGCATGTATAATGAAAAATAATCAACACTTAATCACCGGTTTAAAAATTAAACTTTTTTATACGAATATAAGTACCTTCTACAATAACAAACCTTTGTTCACATAATGTGGCTATCATTATTATTATGTACACAGAGGATCTTACTACATTCACGGAAAAATGAGCAGTCGTTGATGACGAATGAAATAGCATTCAAGGACTAAAACAGGTGTGGAACATCGCAAATAGATGAATCGACTCCATCTTTTTAAAAAATTTCGTTCATTTTGTTCATTCTGTTCCATTATTTTGGATAACGTAATAATATGTCTCTATTTTTTTTTTTTTTTTTGGGGGGGGGGGGGGGGGGTTAACTCCTTCTCGGCTATGTTAAGGAACGATATGGAAAATGTGACCTTTGCACCATTTAAATATGATTGTATTACTTCTTTTTTAAAAAAAATTAACAAAGCAACTGAATACTTGTAGAAAATGTAATATAGCTATCAATGATGGATAGGACTTGGCCGTAGTTATTACCAGTTATATCGCACGCATCAGCTGTTGGTCACGTGAATTGTATAAAAATAGAATTGTTAAGCTGAATCTAGTAAATGGGGATAGTGCAAGGGCATACGCTTGTTTTTCAAGAAAAAAATTAATACACATTAAAAGAAGTTTATTTCCTCTACCCAAAAAGTACTGGGTGCTAGTCAGTGCTGTTTGCGAAGTACTTTAAATTTTTCCGAAAATGCTTAAAATAGCTTAATATTTCCACCTCGCTTAAATTCTGTTGTAAATAAAAATAATGTTATGCAGACCAGGATCAGCTCCCGGCACTTTTCAAATTATACCCTATAAATAAGCAATAAATATTCCAAATTTCAGATCAAACAAAATAGTCTATGCACTTTTGATGTAAATCACGAATACGCTCATCGTTTTTTAAAAAAGCGATATTCTCTACATTCCCTATCCCTGTGCAGCTTCAATGCTACTAAATAAATTCATATTCTATTCACATTGTATTTAATAAATTATTTTCTTGTAGTTTTGATAATTAGGTTTGAAAATTAGCAATTGTATTATATTTATTTAAGCATTCTTGTAATTATTAAACCAGTGAATCTTGTCCTCTGGATCACCTGTGCTGCGTCATTTCAAGGCTGATGACGCCATATTTGAAGAAAGGCTTTCTTCTATTACTCGACTGTATTGCTATCAAGTATTTTACAAGATTTTATAAGATTTTTTAAATAATCGATACAATAAATAAATTCAAGTTGTTATTTACGCATGATCATGTCATCAATTAATTTTTGTGGCTTGTCAAATTTCAATGACGTCACTATTAATCTTCCAATGCGATATACAAGGAATGTGAACTCTGACCTTAACAAAGCTGAGTTAGGAGTTCTGTAACACGGGCACTTGTTACGGGGATAAATATTAAACCCATAGCACAGTGTAACATGCAAGTGTAAGGGTAAAGTTTTTCCACGGATAGATATATTGATATTATAACAATACATAATATAAAAGTTTAACAGGAAGATGATAAAAATATAGACCTTTCTTCTTTTATTTTTCAGACATCACGTGAGAACAGTTTTCTTTTAGTGGCTGCAATAGACTTTGGTACAACATACAGCGGGTATGCGTATGCAATGAAATCGAACAGTTCGAACAATTCAGAACCCTTTAATATCCCAAGGTGGCCTGGCAATGGAACAATATCAAATAGAGTACCTACAGCAGTTTTGTTTGGACCTGATGGATCATTCCTCAGGTTTGGATACGAAGCTAATACATATATGCAAGATAATCCAAATGATGAGGATCTCGAGAAGTTTTATTTTTTCCAAGATTTCAAAATGCTTCTTTATCAAACAAAGGTATGCGTTTAATATTAATCATTGTTTTTATTACAGAGAAGAGTGTAAATGATATTTGTGTGAATTGATTTTTTTAATGTGAATAGAACAAATGATTTAAATTCCAAACAGGCGTAGCTAGCAAAATTTTGCATGGAATAGTTGTCTAATCCTTTTTAATGTAATGTTCACATTTTGAAAAAGCATTTATTAAGATGCTGTCTTTTTAGAAGCATTCACTATGAATTGTATACAATTAATATTTAATTACAAAATCCAGATGTGCAGTCCTTATGTTATTTTTAAATGGAAACTCGGTTTTCTTTTCTAGGACTTATCGCTGAATACTCAAATTCCAGATATAACGGGTCGGAAAACTTTACCAGCTATCGTCGTTTTCTCAAGTGTAATTCAGTTTTTCTCGAATCATCTTATGTCAAACGTGACCCATCATTTTGGATCACCTTTTTTTGAAAAAGAAGAAATATTTTGGGTATTAACTGTGCCAGCCATTTGGAGTCTGAGAGCTAAATGCTTCATGCGAGAGGCGGCTGAAAAGGTATGTTCTGAGTTTTCATGTCACATATTTTTGTTTAATTTTAAATGTGATTTCCTCATGTTGTGAGATGACTTTTGTTTTGTGTGAAGAATGATTCAAAATAAATTCAATAGGCCGGTATACCCACCAATCAACTATCTATTGCACTAGAACCAGAAGCAGCCAGTGTGTTATGTCGCCAAGAAGGAGCCTGTGTTTTATCAAATGACATAACTGGAGAAGGACAGAAAACTCCCCAACCTCTCCCAGACAATTCAACGTATCTCGTTGTAGATATGGGAGGTAATAAAAACTATATTTTATCTAGAAAAAATAGACAAATACTTTAAAATTATGTTCAATAGCGCAGAGAAATAATGATTTTTACAATTTTTCTTCTTTATTTGTTAAAGTTGAAATTAATTTTGTTTATTGTTGGCATTACTGCTCACATTTCATTTTAAAAATTTCTTTATAGGTGGTACAGTTGACATAACTCTTCATCATTTGCTTGAAGGAGGAATTCGGGAATTATACAAAGCCAGCGGCGGAGACTTTGGAGGAAACCAGATCAATAAAAGATATTTGGAATTTCTTGAGAAGTTATTTGGAAAAGATATTTTGGAAGCGGTAAAACAAAAACATCCATCTTGTTGGTTTGATATAATTACTAATTTTGAACGCAAAAAGAGAACCTTTGGAGAACATAATGATCAAGATAGGGTCGTCATCGGTTTTCCCTTTTTATTTGTGGAGGAATACAAGAAATTAAAAGATCATGACTATCAGGAAAGAATAAACCCTCTCTGCTATGGAGAAGACGTTGAAATCAAGAACGATAAATTGTACATAAAAGAGAAAATCTTTAAGTCTTTTTTCGAAGGCTGTCTAGGGAAAATCAAAAAATGTATTGAAACAATTTTAGAACATGGGGACAACACAGATACTATACTGTTTGTTGGTGGTCTTGCAGAATCACCCTATCTTATTAGAATGCTCAGGGAGCATTTTAGTAATTCAAAGGTCCTTGTACCGAAGGACCCATCTCTCGCAGTCTTGAAGGGGGCTGTGTGGTTTGGACGTTACCCAGCAATAATTAAATCACGAATTTGTCAATACACTTATGGCTTCGCCAAACAAAGGCCCTTCATTGATGGTAAAGATGACAAAACAAGGAGAAAAACGTGCTTCGGTAATCGATATTACATAGATGATGTATTTGATAAACATGTTGAAATAGGAGAAATGCTAGAAGTTGGAAAATTTCAACAACCTAAAGATTATCATCCACTTGACAATGACCAAGTGGTAATAATTCTAGAGCTTTATGCATCCACAGAGAAATATCCAAAATATGTCAACGACCCATCTTGCCACTTAGTTGGTGTCATGAAGCTTGACGTGAAGCAGAGAAATCCTGGAGAAGACGGTACAGTATCAGTGCGCCTCAATTTTAGTGGAACAGAACTAGAGATAGAAGCACGTGAAAAGAGAACTGGAAATGTTGCCCGCGAAAAGGTCAATTTCTTAGGATAGTTATCTAAATAATGAAAAACACACATGTATATATTGAAACTAAATAAAAAATAAATAAATAAAGTTCAGGTTTATTTCATACACTAAGCGCTTTCGCCGTTTGGAAATCAGTTTGTCCAAAACATACTCTTTAAGTGGAAGCGATATTTGAGCGATAATTACATTTTCTGCAACAGAGCAAAGGAAAATTTGCAAGAATTTCATACTATTGTCCGTCTACAGAAACGTTTTTACTTAGACAAAACTGTCTCAATCTTTACTAGACGTCGTTATTGAAAGGGCCAAGTCAATACCAACTGCAAATCTCCGGAGATATACTAGACTAGAGACCCAGGCAAACAATAAGGATATCAAACTCTGTAGAACAGTGTTTTCCTATTTTACAACAATCCCAAATTAAAAGGAATTAATTGATCCGAAGAACATAATCTAAAGCCGGCGCCAACCCCCAAATGGGAAGAAACTACTGACAGAGCCAGGTTTTAGTCAAATACAGACAAACATACAATAGCCAAATGTATGGACTCCCTATGTGGAAACTGAGGAGAAGTTTACATTTAAATGCTGTAAATCATATATACCGTTAAATCCATTATACCTGGTATCACGCAAATCTAAAACTTTTTACGCTATACATTGTATGACCTGTACTTCATGCGGGGAAAACTACATTGGACAGACCGGTAACAATCTAGCTGATGGCATTAGAGTCCTTAAACAACAAATACGGGATTCCTCTTTCATGAATATGCCTTGTAATAAACATTGTATTCATGTGCTAATGAAAACTTTTCAATATTTCCATTTATAAAATTTAAGAAGATAACGAGGAATTATACAGGGCGAAGGAAGATTATTTTCTTAAATTATTTAAACTTTAGCTGTAAATTTAAAATGGTGGCTTTAAGAAAACAGTTTCTTTTTTCATTACTACATGTATATACATGTGGTCTATTCTATATCTCTGGCGTCCTATTGACATTAACCTCCAATATATACTCCTGCGGCACTGTTGCGTCACAATAAAGACGTCATGACTATGAAGTTTTATTGTTTTTATAAATTTGATAACATTCAAAAGAGCCAAAACAGCAAAAGCACTATCAAAAGTACTTTTAGTATTGTTCCCTTATACATACCATATATATTCGGAAACTTTTAATTTAGAAAGTAAAAGTAGTCTATTCTTCATTTTATTCATAAAGTGTACTTAGTTTTTTTCTTATCTTTTTTTTTAGTATGGGGCGCTTTGGATAACAGTAGAAAAAAGTCTCTATTTTTTTTATTTCGAAACTTTTAACCTTAACACATATTTTCGAGGGGTCGAATTTTGATGATTTGAGGAAAATATACTGGTTCATTCGGACTTGATCTCGTGGTTTAGGAATTGTTCAGTAGTAAAATTCGTGAAAAATTGCATATCATGATTGACACAAATTCATGGGTCTCTTTATACATCGAAAACCACGAAAATTTAACCCTCACGGTTGTAAGAATTTGTGATTTCACAGTTTAACAAAAATATAGATTATTTATTTACTAACTGCCTGTAAGAACTAACCTGACTGGCTCATTGTAGATGTTCATGTTATACAAAGAGATGTAAAAGAAAACAATAAAGTCACCAGTTACACATAATTTTTTCTCTTGTGTCTTTTTTTACAATGTCTACTATGGCAGCAAATTTCAACCCAAAATCCAGTTTGTTCAGCATCTTATGAGCCCATGCACTAGTTTCTCAAATCTATCATATTGAAGGATGATTTGTTTTATATATGTAAGAAGAATTAACAGCCAGGTCTCCAGGCTTTCTTTTCAGTGTAACTACTTAAGGTGATGGCAGTTGATAACGACAGCTCTTTATTTACTCTATTGTGGATACAAGCACTTCTTGAATTATGCCAACGTAACAATTAAGTCTGTGTAAGTCACACACCAAAAACTCACACAAAACTTAAAACATTCCTTAAATAAACAAGTCACACTCAATGTTTGGCGATAAATTTCTGAAGCAGGTTTTTTCGATTAACATTTTATAGTGTGTGGTAGCAGAGGTTCTCTCTATATAGATAATTCTATTATGTTTAAGTTTTCGTGCGATGTTCCAATTTAATTCCTGTGTCGGAAAATGCAAATTTGAAGCGTTTTTATCATGCTTACGTCTAATCGAACGATGTTCTGTGCAATATTGTGGTAAGCTTCACCCTGCGATATTTATGCTGTTAATAATTACGATGAAAAACTGACATTCAACCGTAAATTAAGCAATATTCGTTGAAAGAATTTGTTTCCCAATTGAGGATTTTATCTTTGAAGCTGCCTTGGAAAATGTAGAAATTATCCCACTCAAATACTATTTCGAAATATAAGAAATGCTTTCAGATCATTTAAACAGTATGAATATTCTGAAATATTTTAGTATATAGTAGGGATGGCAATCGATTACAGAATTGCTAATCGGTTAACCGCAAGACGTTCCGACCGATTAACCGGTTAACCGTATCAAAATACGCATTTTCGTAAAGTACATAACTAATTTTTTCCTATGTAGATCTATTCATATATAAAAGAAGTCTGATAAAGTCTGGATGTTAAATTATTGTATTTATCTTGAAGTTCATTCTTGTTTAAAAAAAACATGTGTTTATATATTTTATTTTAATACAATATAGACTGGGAAAAATTTAATGAAAGCACGCACGAATCATGTCTGAGAAATCACTGATATTTTTCCAACTCAGATTTTACATACGTTTATTCTGCGTTGCCACCATAATTAAAAAGTTTTAAGTCTAAAAAACATCACTTAACTTACAAAGTTTGTTTAGTAATTTATTCTATAGATAACTGCAAAAACAAACATACTAATTTGAAGTTCTCAACGGTGATTTAATCATCATTGAAGAAATACAGGACAGTCAGGGTAACGACATTGTGTTTAAACAGTAATTAATACTTCAAACACAATATAACCAATTACCCTACAATCTCAATCAGGAGGACGATAATTACATCAAGTCAGATTGAATATGTGAAAACGCCGACTTATCAACGTTTATCCAAATTTTTCTTTTTATTTTTCAAAAATGGATTAATTCTGACAAAATTATGTTCAAAAGTATATACATTTTTATTTTTTTCCGACTAACCGATTACAGATTTTCTAACCGATTGCCATCGTTCCGACCGAGTAATCTGTTAATCGGTTATGCCTAGGTCACATTTCCCGGCCGGTAGCCGTAGACCGGTGGTAATCGGTAGTAATCTGTGGTGTTAACGATGCCCCAACATCGGTCCACATCGGCCTATTATTCCTAAAAGTATCAGTCACATTATCCAGCGATGTGCATACGATGGGCAACCAATGAGTTTTATGAGAAAAATGGTGTGGTTGCCGGCCGGACTTACAAAGCTTCAGCGATGCATTGCTAATCATAGAACAATGTTCCAGGATAATCGGCCGATGTATATTACATCGCTCATACATTGGTTAACATCGTTCGTACATCGGTCGACTACGGGCCAATGTTTGGTCGAACATCGACCAATGATCGGTCGTTATCTGTTGAACACCACTCAACCCCCCGATAACCTCAGATTCAATGGATATTGGACGATGCTCGGCCATACATCGGCCGATCCTAGAAAGATGTGTTAATGATGGGTTGCCGATGAGGAGCGATGTGAGGCATCGTTCGAGACATGGCTGAATTTTAACTACGAATTATTTCCTATCGATGACCCCACCGATTCGCAAAAAAGACTCAGTCACCGTCCGATCACTAGTGGTGCCCGGCCGGCAACCACGCCATTTTCATCAAAAAATGCATCGGTTTCTCATCGTATACCCCATCGTTGGATAATGTGACTTATACTTTACAAATTGCCATCCCTAGTATATAGCGTTATCTAAAACATTTTATATTTGTTCGTAAAAATTCGCATTATGGACTCCGTAATGGACCTGTTATCGTGAAGTATCGAAACTCTATACAGACACCCTACATTGCGATACTTGTAAGGCAAATCTTTTGAATACGTCAAGAAATCTAGTGATCAACGGGACCGTTTTAAAATGTTAAGTATATGGTTAATTGGTAAATGTAATATAAAAAACACGAAAAAAAATCATTGACAGGGTTATTTCAGCTCAAGTCCCTGTTTCACCTTCAAATGTCGCTTTTATTTCAAAACTCTACTCATTCATCAGTTTTAGTCATATTTGATTAAAACGTTTCATAAAAGAGGTCACGCTGTTTATCACTTTTTGTATGATGTACCTATGATTATTGCATATTTTGAATGAAATTTCTTCAAAATGATCCTACAGTTTGTGGAAAAGTTATAACTTTTGTTATATTTGTATTGTCAGGTATATAATCCTTTTTTGTTATTTAAAAAGTATTTTAAGTATATATATCGTTGGCTATTTCAACTTGTTCTGTTTCAGTAGTTAAGTTTTGTGTATTAAATCATTGATTAATAAAGATTAGAAAGTTTAATGCATATTCGTGTTTTCGGTCACATTTGGCCTTCGTGCAGCTTCGATTCCTCCATGGTTAAATTTCCAAATGAAGAGAAGCCTGCTTCACAAATCCATTAAATTGAATTTCATTAGAAGCGTCGACTTCGAAGCAAATAGTATTACCTGTAGTATTACAGATGAAAAATCTCTGACCTTTGAGTCAGAAATCAGAATGACACCGTCACATGAGATAGAAGTGAATGATTCTCTGTACAGTCCAGACATGTTCACCTGCTTGAAATATTTAACAAAATCTAGAACAATTGTCGCTTAAACCATTAACACAGTATCAAGTTTCCATGTTACAGAAATTGGTAACAACCATGCTTCAGAGAACAGCTTTTATATTGCACAATGAATATCTAAGTAAAGGCAAAAACAGATCAAGGTATATAACTGATAAAATATCCATCCATATGGTGAAATTAGTCGCACAATTCGGATCCGTTTCTGAAATACTCTATATATCCATGTATTTCTACAGAACTTCTACATATATGAAAGCTATTTCTACTTTGAAAATTGCAAAGGACAAGTTATACAAAATTTGTTTGAGTTACTTCTATAAAAAAGTTGGAGAAACAGTAATGAATTTAACTTCTCTTATAGAAAACGCAGAGATAAATAGATATATCAGAAGGATAGCACTAATACGCGCAGGTGAAA